TAAAGCCAAGGCACAAGAGGCAAAGCAGACACTACATCCAAGACAGGAAGGGGCTACATTACTCAGTTTTCATTGTTGTGGTTGGCTGTGAGATGAAATCTTGCACCCTCTGTTCCTGCATATGTTCCTTTCCAGGTAATTTTCAGAGACCTGGCCTTGACATACTGGTATCTGCTGTTCCCCTATGAACCATAAGTACTAAAAGTGGGCACAGTTGCTATGGCATTCCCTGACTTTCTGACTGAATTTTGTAGCTGTGTTCTAATATAAGCACAATAAATTACAGTACAGATGGTCTACAATTTAACAATGGTTAGATTTCTAATTGACTTTATAATTTTGTAGCTGGGCGTGGTTGCACACGCCTTTAACCCCAGCACTTGTGAGGCAGAGGCAGGTGGATCTCTGGGAAATAGAGGCCAGCCTGGTTTACATAGCGAATTCCAGGTCAGCTTCGGTTACAGGGAGACCCTGTCTCAAAAAGACCAAAAAAATAAATAAATAAAAATTTAAAAAAACAAAGGGGACTGGAGAGATGTCTCAGTGGTTAAGAGCACTGACTGCTCTTGCAGAAGACCCAGGTTTGATTCCCAGCACCCACGTGGTGGCTACGAACCGTCCTTTACTCCAGTTCCAGGGGAATCCAAAGCCCTCTTCTGACCTCTGAGGCATTGCACGACATGGGTGCATTCACATACATGCAGGCCATACACTCATACAAATAAAATAAAAATAATAAAATATTTTTTAAGAAAGAAGCATTGAGGCTGGGTTTGGTGGTGCACGCCTTTAATCCCAGCACTCAGGAGGCAGAGGAGGAGTTCTGGGAGTTTGAGGCCAGCCTGGTCTCCATCCCGAATCCAGGACAGCTGGGGCTACAGGAAGACCCTGTCTCAAAAAGACCAAAAAAAAAAAAGGTTTTAATTTTTTTTTTTTTTTGAGACAGGGTCTCCCTGTAGCCCCAGCTGTCCTAGAACTCACTATGTAGACCAGGCTGGCCTCGAACTCACAAAGATCCACCTGCCTCTGCCTCCCAAGTGCTGGGACTACAGGTGTGTGCCACCACACCTGGCTCTATTTTTATATTTTTATTGTTTTTTTTTGAGACGGGGTCTCCTTGTAGCCCCAACTGTCATGGAACTCACTATGTAGACCAGGCTGGCCTCGAACTCACAAAGATCCACCTGCCTCTGCCTCCCAAGTGCTGGGATTAAAGGCATGTGCCACCATGCCTGGCTTCCAGTCTGTTTTTAAAGGAACATCATTGAATGCTGGGTGTGGTGATGTGGGCCTTTTTATCCTTGTCCTTGGGAGGCAGAGGTAGGTGGATCTCTGAGTCAAGGCTACCTGGGGCTATAGGGAGACCCCTGCCTGAAAAAGTCCATAAAACAGAACATCATTGAAATTCTCTACTGAGTATGTGGCACATAGCCACGTGAAAGTAGCAGTCTACATTGAAGCCTCTTTTGGTATTCTGTATTTGTTTTCTGACAGTGTGTATGAATATGCCTGTGGAGACTAGAAGACAACCTTAGGTAGCATTCCTCAGGCACTGTCTACTTTTTTTGTTGTTGAGACAGGGTCCCTTACTATGTTGCACTGTCTGCCCTGGAACTGGCTATGTAGACCAGGCTGGCTTTGAACTCACAGAGGACTGCCTACCTCTGTCTTCTGAGTGCTGGAATTAAAAGTGTGCATCACCAAGCCTAGCTTAGACCTGACTTTTTTATGTGAATTCTGGGAATTAAATACAGATTGTCTGTGCTAGTACTTTACCAACCCAACTGAGCTATCCCTTCAGTCCAGTTTTCTGATTCTTTGATGTAATTTTTTTCCTTTTGCTAAATTTCTTGTATGCAGAGTTCTGTGAGAAACAGTCATTACAAAGCCAGATGTGGTGGCACTTACTTGGAATACCAGCACTTGGGCTGTAGAAGCAGGAAGAGTTCAGGTCAGCTTTGGTTACCTGAAATCCTGTCTCAACAGAAGAGTCATTGCCTTAAGAGAAGGTTGTTCAGAGATTATCAAGGAGTCAGATATTTTATCAGTGTTCTTTCAAAATATACCCTTCATTGGGCTTTTGTTCCTCTCTACATGATGGCATTCAGCATGTTCTTGCTATGCTGAATGAAACTAGAAAGTACAGTTGCAGGTGGAATAGGATATATGCTCCCTACCCTGAAGGAACTTAGACTTGGTAGGAGTCAGGCCCAAGGAAACATGACGCCTCCCCTTATAATAGGGTAGGCAGGAAATAGTTTTATAAGGTCCAGGAGAGGCCCAAGGCTGCAGTTGGAGGCAACACTTAATTTGAGGGGTGATGCTAAATTTAGGACCAGAATGAGCTTTGGGACAGAAATGAATTTCTGAGATGGACAGGTATAGTGCTTCTTTTGGTCAAAGGAAAGAGATTTGCAGTAAAGGTATATTCTTTCATTAAGGAAGTTAGAAATATACAAGGCCCGTTAATGGAAACAATTGTATGGTTTAAACAGGTGGTGGCAGTGGGGGCGTTGCTGCTGCTGCTGGCTCAGCAAGTTAAGGTGCTTGCTGCAATGACCTGAGCTCCATTCCTGGGACCCACATGGTAGAAGGAAAATGCTGACTCCTCCAAGTTGCCCTCTTACTTCTACCACCTGTGCATTGTGGCATTTGCATCCCCACCCCTACAGAAATGAATGAATGAGCATAATAGAAACTTAAGAAGGAAGTTGGAGGAGAAATAAGTTGCTGTTAGAATTTTAGAAGATTCTAAAGGCAAGGCTGAGTTTGAGTGATAGTGCCTGATTTTGGCATTGAGAATCTTCTGAAGGCCTGCGGGCAAAGGTGTGATTGGTTGGAACCCAGCCATAGGAACAGGACAGCTGTAGCAGGTAAAATAGAAGGGAAATAAAGAAAGATGTTGGGAATTTGTCTGGGGTACACAGTAGGAAGAACTTGAACTAGAGTAGTGATTGTGGGAATGTGCAGAGGTAATGGTGGAAATGAGACCCTTGATGTTGAAAATTATCTAGAACCTGAACCTGACAGTAACCCTGAAGTAGAGAACAAAGGAACATAATTATTCAACTCCAGGGCTGCTGCTGCTGCTGCTGCTCCTGCTCTTCCTCCTCCTCCTCCTCCGTCGTCTTTCTTCCTTCTTTCTTCTTTCTTCTTCCTACATTTTCTTTATCTTACATACTTGTGAACATACACAAGTGGCAGGTGAGTAGAGGATCCTTTCTAGAATCTGTTCTTTGCTTCTACCATGTAAGTGGTAAGGATGAACTCAGGTTGTCAGCTGCAGGTGCCTGTAGCCCCTGAGCCATCCCATCAGGCTAACTCAAGAGTTTCTGAAGTGGGGGGGGGTTAATGACTTCACTATAAATTTATTTTCATCACTAACTGTGGAAATTGGGGGGCTGGAGAGATAGCTTAGCCATTAAAAGCACTGGCTCTTCTTACAGAGAACCTGGGTTTGATTCCCAGCACCCACATGGCAGCCAACAACCATCCATTTCTCCAGTTGCAGGGAATCCGAAGCCCTCTTCTGACCTCCACTGCATGACACAGGTGCACTTACATTCAGGCAATACACTCATACACATAAAATAAAAAATAATAAAATGTTTAAAAATAAGGGGCTTGGGGCTGGAGAGGTGGCTCAGCAGTTAAGAACGCTGGTTGTTCTTGCAGAAGACCTGGGTTCAAATCCCAGCACCCATATGGCAGCTAACAACTGTCTGTAACTCCAGCCCCAGGGGATCTGAGAGCTTCTTCTGACCTCCACAGGCATTGCACAACATGGGTGCACTTACCTACATGCAGGCAATACACACGTACACATAAAATAAAAATAATAAAATCTTTAAAAAAGGAGGGGCTGGAGAGATGTCTGCTCAGTGGTTAAGAGCACTGGCTGCTCTTGCAGAGGACCCAGGTTCATTTTCCAGCACCTACATGGTAGCTAACAACTGCCCTTAATTCTAGTTCTAATCCAGATTCTACTCATAACAATTCTGCTGCTTCTGCCTCCGCAGTGGCAGTATTACAGGTATAAGCTACCACATGGGGCTCTTAATTTTTTAGTGAATTCCTTAGAATTCACCTGTAATTTAAAAAAAAAAAAAAATCACATCATAAGCCAGGCATAGTGGCACACGCCTTTAATCCCAGCACTTGGGAGGCAGAGGCAGGCGGATCTCTGAGTTTGATGCCAGCCTGGTCTCCATGGCAAATCCAGGGCAGCCGTGGCTACAGGGAGAGCCCCCTGTCTTAAAAAGACCTCCCCCTCCAAAATAATGTACTTCATGTATAAATTGAGGCAAATTTTACTTTTTGGGGAACAGTGGGACAAGGTCTTTCTTTTTAAACATATATTTTATTTTTTTTATGCGTACAAGTGTATTGCCTGCATGTATTTGAATGCACCCGTGTCCTGCAATGCCGCGGATGTCAGAAGAGGGCTTCAGATTCTCCTGAAACTGGGGTTAAGGATGGTTCGTAGCTACCATGTGGGTGCTGGGAATTGAACTTGGGTCCTCTGCAAGAGCAGTCAATGCTCTTAACTGCTGAGCCATCTCTCCAGCTTCTAGAGCCCTCAGCTGACCTGGGACTTGATGTGGCCCCCAACTTTCAGATCTCTCTGCCTCTGCCTCCTGACTGCTGGGATTAAAGGTGTTGCACCACCACACCTGGCCAGATTGAGGCAGTTTTCATTTTACAATCCGAATTTCACTTTCTTTTTTAATTGCTTGACTAGAACCCTTGAATGCCTGTTGGACAGAAGTGGCAAGAACAAATGTGTCTGGTTCCTGATCTTCTAGGGAAGATTATTGGTCTTTTACCATTCAGTATAGTTTTTGGTATATGTAGCCTTTTGGTACCAAATAGAAGACTTTTCCAAAATTTTGAATTTAGGAGTGGTAATAAAGGCTTGTCTCTTTGGACATTAGATTATTTCATAAATCTGGGTCTGTTTTAAATGCATTTTAGATAACACTTTTTGTTTTGTTTTTAAGCAATGGCTGCCATCAGGAAGAAACTGGTAATTGTTGGTGATGGAGCTTGTGGTAAGACATGCTTGCTCATAGTCTTCAGCAAGGACCAGTTCCCAGAGGTTTATGTGCCCACGGTGTTTGAGAACTATGTGGCAGATATTGAAGTGGATGGAAAACAGGTGCGTAATAACAAATGATGCTATTGTATATTATGTACCAGTAGAGAGTTAGGGGTTTTTTTGGTTTTGTTTCTTTAGTACACACTGTAATAAAAATGTTGAAAACAGTAATCCATTTCCCACTTGCCATCCTAGTCCAATTTTTTTTCTTTCAGTTTTTGGTAGCTTGAGCTTTTTTTTAAAATATTACATAGAGTTCAAGAGCAGTTAGGGCTATATATATAGGGCTATATAGTTAGACCTTGTCTCAAGGAATGAAATCACATTGGTATCTTATGTTGGCCTGTAGTTACAGCTACTCAGAGGGTAGGGCAGAGGGGTCACAAGTTCAAGATCAACCTGGACAACTTACAAGACCTTGAGTCTAAATTTAAGAAGATAAAAAGAACTGGGGGGCTGGAGAGATGGCTCAGCGGTTAAGAACACTGGCTGTTCTTGCAGAAGACCTGGGTTCAAATCCCAGCATCCACATGGCAGCTAACAACTGCTTGTAACTCCAGTCCCAGGGGATCTGACAGCCTCTTTTGTCCTCCATGGGCATTGCATGACATGGGTGCACTTACCTACATGCAGGCAATACACACATATACATAAAATAAAAATAATATTTTTAAAAAATCCAGAACTGGATATGTAGTGCAATTGCCTAACATGCTTGAGGCACTGTAATCCATCTAGAGTCAGGGAACCAGCATGTACCCTTTGAAGGTGGGTACATGCAGTGTGTTTGATTTAACCTTCTGCATGAATGGTTGGGCGCAAGTGTTTCTATGAACCTGAAAGTAAGACTGATTTTGACAGACAGGTGTCATGAACAGTACCAATTTGTGACAAACTAAAATGGGTGTTTGCTGAGGTCTTTGAGATGTAACAGTCTTCTTGTCTAAGATTATCATAATAAACACTTTCACTGACTTGAGGGGAAGCATGGTGGGGTCAGTATGTTTGTAGCTCATTTCTTGATGGCATAATGAATGTGTATTGCTGATTTTGTTGTGACATTATGTCTGCATAAAGTGGCTGTCAGGTATTTCAACTAGAAAGATCCTTACATATGTCCTTACAGCAATATGTACTTCTTGTATTATTTGTGCCTGGGCATCTTGGATCAACCAGAATCTTGCCCATAGGAGATGAGCGACAAGGCTGAGGATGTTGCTCTCTTGGTACAGTGCTTTGCCTAGCATGTATGAGGCCCTGGATTCTCTCCCTAGCACTTTGTGAACGGCATGATGGGTGGGGCACACTACAGGAGGTTGAGGGATTCAAGTTATCCTTAGCTATATGACCCTGTCTCAAAAGTAAATAAAACACAGAAAAGAGGGCCTGGAGAGATTTCCCAGTGGTTAAGAACACTGACTGTTTTTGCAGAAGACCCAGGTTCAAGTTCCAGCATCCACATGGTGGCCAAAAACCTTTCATAACTCCAGTTCCAAGGGATCTGATGCCCTTTTCTGACCACCTTGGGCATTTTATGGAGGGATACACTTACATACCTGTAGGCAAAAACACTCATACACATAAAATAAAAATAATAAAAACTTTTTAATATATAGGAAATTAAGCACTTTGTCTAAATACATTGAGTAATGGTCTGTGGTTGTCTTTCTTGTGCTGTTAACTTTGAACATGACTTATCCAGGCAAGATAGGAGAGTCTTTTCACTGAGGAAGAAGCTCCTGAAATGAGACAGTTTGATTTGGAAAAGGGTATCATATATCAGTTGCCTGCCTCAGAGCAACTCAGGAGCCACCAAGGTTGGGGAGGAAGAAAGGGAGAAAAGTTACTCAGTGTGTTGTTTACAGTTTGATTTCCCTTGTGTATCCATTTTCTCTCTTAACATAATCAAATAATTTGAAATACATCCTCTGCATTTGGATTTGACCTCATATAGATGAACAACTCTGTAATTTACTATTTGTGACAGTGTTCTCTTTGAATATATGTAGTGAGTGTCCCCTTTTCAAAAAGTGGGTAGTGGTGCTTATATGAACTTAACAGCAATGGTGACAGCATGCACAGACCCTTGCATACTCAAACCAGACAAAAACCCAGCATAGAACTGGGGAAATGGTCAAGGAGCCCCAACCTTAGCCAAGGAAGTATTGGCAGCTGATCATTGCTGGGTGATAGGGATCATTTCTTTAAGGGAGTGATGCTAAGAAGGCTGACCAGGCTCCAATGGATGAACTCATATCAGGGGATATTAGGGGACACAAACTTGACAGGTCTTAACATACCTGACAATGCATGAAATTGGTTGGGGGGTATGGGGGAGTGCATATAGGAGAGCAGATCTAAATATGATTAAGATGTATTGTACGAAATGCTGTGTGTGTGTAAAAGTGGATGGGGGTATTAACATTTCACTACCATGGTGTTTGTTTTTCCTATCACAGGTAGAGTTGGCTTTATGGGATACAGCTGGACAGGAAGATTATGATCGCCTGAGACCTCTCTCCTATCCGGACACTGATGTTATACTGATGTGTTTCTCCATCGACAGCCCTGATAGTTTAGGTGAGTAGCCCTGCAGCCTGGTTGGTTGTTGCTGCTAGGGGCAGATCTAGGTTCTCAGGTACTTTATGGGTATCAGGTGATTGGAAAACAGACATTCTGGGGCTGGAGAGATGGCTCAGCAGTTAAGAACACTGGTTGTTCTTGCAGAACACCCGGGTTCAAATCCCAGCACCCACATGGCAGCTAACAACTGTCTGTAACTCCAGTTCCAGGGGATCCAGTGGCCTCTTCTGTCCTCCGTGGGTGTTGTATGACACAGGTGCACTTACCTACATGCCGGAAATACACTCATACACATAAAATAAAAACAATAAATATGGACATTCCAAGCTGTGGATGGTGGCACACAACTTTATCCCAGCACTTGGGAGGCAGAGATAGGTGGATCTCTGAGTTCCAGGCCCATCATGGCTACAGAGACTATCTCCAAAAAAAATCCCCCAGGGGGCTGAAGAGATGGCTCAGAGGTTAAGAACACTGGTTGTTCTTGTAGATGACCTGGGTTCAAATCTCAGCACCCACATGACAGCTAACAACTGTCTGTAACTCCAGTTCCAAGGGATCCGATGGCCTGTACTGTCCTCTGAAGGCATTGCATGACATGTGTGCACTTACATCCATGCAGGCAGTACACACATAAAGTTTAAAAAATAAAAAAAATCCCCAGATATTCCTGGAGCCTTGAGATTAGAGAGTATAAGGCCTGTGGAGTCCATTTCATCCTAGGTCTCTCATGATTGTGTCGGTGCGTGCGCGCGCATGCACACGTTGACACAAGGTCTTTCTGCAGTCCTAGCTGGCCTGAACTTGCTATGTAGATCAGGCTGACCTTTGAACTCACAGAAATTCACCTGCCTCTGCCTCCTGAAGATAATTTAATTATGGGTATGTGCATTTGAGTACAGCTGCTTGCAGAAGCCAGAGGTGTTGGATTCCCCCGGAGATGGAGTTTCTGGCAGTTGCAAGCTGCTTGATATGGTCGCTGGAAATTGAATCTGGGTCCTAAGGAAGAGCAATACATGTTCCTATCTCTGTAATCCTTTACTCCCCTCTTAAAAAAAAAAAAAAAAAAA